CTGTTGTAAAGAGTGGGGAGGTGGAGGAGGTGGTGAGGAAGGAGATAATTAAATTAAGTAATGAGGAGTCCATCACCTCTCTCTTCACTGTAAATGAAAGCAGACAATTCATCCTCATCTTCTTCTTCACCACAGTGAGGAGGAGATTCAGAGTCAGACCATAAAGACTCCAGCCATCACTGAACACCTGTCCCTCCTCTGAGCCACTGAAACTATTGAAACCCATCAGTGAACACAATGTTGCCCTGGTTCCCTCATCTCCATGAACACACACGCGCTGTAGTTCATTCTGACTCAGTCCTGTTGCCACTAACACTCACTAGAGACCAAAGGTTGATTCCTCCACACTAGCAGGAATAAGAGCTCCTCTGCAGGAAGTGTTGTGAGCTTTGTTTCTGAGTGGCATCATGCATTTGAACCCAGTTTACAGGTCTAATTCAGAAATAACAGGGTGTTTTTAAAGATGAATGTCTTCAGTAGGAACCAGTGGGCAGAGAGAGCACAGAGACAGACCATGCCATTTTGTCTAATTCTCTGTTCATCAATTAGCACATTACACATTGGCACGTAAACTGAAAACAAAGAACCTCAAGGAGCCAACATTTCTCATCCCAGGGCATCAAGCACTTACACTTTATCAAGTGCCTTTGGCAAAGCATAAGTAAATGTGTTGGTCTCATGCATTAGTAATACAAACCGCAGTTTACACACTAAGGCTACATGGTTAGGTTTAGGAATGCTTGGGATAAAACACTGATTGATACAGGACAGGCTAGGCCAAAGGATAAAGGGTGCTCTCGTGTCCCCTCCAGCATTCTCCTTACTCCTCAGAGCAGCAATGAGTGTTTTGAGACGTCTTCACTCAAAGCTCAACCTGGAAGTCATTCTGGTCGAGCAAGGAATCATCACACAGGAGGCTGGAGAAGTGCCCCATGTCTACTCTGTGAACAGTGCCGCTCATTTGCATATTTAACATAATTTGTATTTTTAATTTGCAAGTGCTGCTCATCCTAATGAGATTCATATCACAACCTGAAGCGCTGACCGATCACACGCTGGCTCCACAAGGACCAATCACATATGAGCTGAGGAGAGACCTGCCTCAAGTTTTATTCTTATTAAAGATGATTCCCGTTAAGTCTTGTTCTCGTTAAAACAGATTGTCATTAAGTCTTTTCTTGTTAAGACTTTGCTGACAGACAGAACGAGGAACACAAAGTGAAAAGAAAATTTAAGACATGTCAGAGTTTAATTTACAGAGGACTAAAGGCACTGCGATATTAACTGTTTTAAAGGAAACTCCGGTAACTTCTTACATCAACAACTTCTGTCTAAATCTTTCTCTGGCGGCCTCTGCTGTGGAGGAACAACACGGTCAACAAGCAGGTCAAGCAACACAAAGAACTGTGAAGCCGTAGAGGCAGCAATGGTCCACAGGTTAGAGAAGTGAGGCCTAAATCTGGGTGGAACGCTCACCCCGCCCTCATCAACATCACTGTGGTACCCTTGAGCAAGGACCGTAACCCCAACCACTCCAGTGGTGGCAGGTCAGACTGTGGTCATACTGGGCAGTGAATGTGCAACAAACAGAGGCGCCCTCTCAGTGGACATGACCAAAGAACAACAGGTTGGCCAGCAGAGGGAAAACCATGTTGACCAACATGGAGAGACAAGTTCACAGTCTCAACAAACAAAAAAATACAACTGACAAACTCTGACACGCAACCTTTTTCTCTCAGTAGTAATATCAGCAATTTGTTCTTAGTTCTTCTGGGAACCCTAAGTTGCAAAGAGACTGAAGCAGCAACAAGACTGGCAACTTTCAAGATAAAGTCAATGACATCATAAGAGGAAGTTAACCACAGACGATGTCGTCATGGCAACCGGGTTTCAGCATTTTGACTCAGACATCTCGTTAAAAGCTTGTTAACAGAAACAACAATAAACAAAAACACACTGTCAATCAGAGAGAAAGAGAGAGAGAGAGACCTTTGTAGTCAATGAGACCATCTTGGGTGGTTCCTAAAATACCTGCAGTGTGTCTCCATGGTATAAACACACACGTTCCTTTTTCTAAATCAATCAATAGTGATATGTTGCTACCAGCAACACTTACTGGTGATCAATATACACACACACACACACACACACACACACCAAAGAAAGCAGGAATCACCTGTTAAATACAAATTAAAGCGAGAAGATTTACTTCATTTCTTTCTTTCAGGAGGAGGACGTAAGCAACAGGAAGTAAAAAAGAGAAGGAGGAGAGATCCAGGTGTCTCCTCCTCCTGAATATCTGATGTCTACTGATGAACAAGATGATCAATACATCACCTGCCACACCTCCAGCTGACACGGTAACACACAGACACCATGAGCGCTCGGCGGGCGACCGAGCCTCTTCTCTGTTGTCTGTAATCTGCTAAGTCTTTTTTGTTTAGCCCTGATTAGCCCAAGTCCAGAGCAACATCTTCAAGTGTCTTGTATGTTTCACATCCCAAAGATAGGCCTCAAATCAATATCACAATGTTTATAAATTGTAATAACACACTTCATGTCCATTGTTTTCAGTCAGTGAACTAGTCACATGGAGTAAACTAAAACACCAGGTTCACTCACTGTCATTCCTGAAGTGAAACAGCAGCAGATGGTGCGTTCAGGGTCACACCCCTCATTCTGTTTTCCAGGAAGAGAAAAATATTCAACTACACTTCATCTCTCCATTGACTCCCATGCATTCATACATTTAACATTTAGCCATCCAGGGGCCTCTGGGGGCCCAAACATTATTCTGCTGTCAGTCACTCTGAAACGTGTCCAGTAATGAGATTCCATCCAAAACCAACCTACAGCATGAGAAGAAAATCACACCTACGCCCGGTAGGTGATTGACAGCACGTCGTCCTCCCATAATCCCGTGCTGCAGACACCAGAGACCCTCACAGACAGGAGACTGTACCCCCATAAAAAATTCTCACATCAGGTATTCAGAGCGAGAGCATGCAAAGATAAGACCTGGTCCCATCACCGTCACCGTCAGCGGCAATTACGAACAGGCAGATAGAAGACGAATCAAAACACAGCCGAGTGGACAGGCAAGGGCTAAAGACTGAAGCTCATCATGTTCTAACACACTCACAGTCACTGTTCAGGGGGAGGTCATCCCACCACCAGTGACCTTCACAGAACAAAGACCCTGGGACAGCGAAGCTCAGTCTATTGTAGAACTAATGCTGCTTGAAATCCAAAAACATGGGTCATGGTTTATAGGATTGAACTCCGCTGTTCGGTTGTACAGTCCTGAACTTTCTATGTCCAAACATTCAAAATTCTCCTTACACAGACATTAGAAAAGGGACAGCTCTAAGCCAATCACACATTCTGAGCAGGACACATGAGATTCTTCTTCTTCCAGTTGGTTCAATCATATCTATAGTAGAGGAACCACAATGAAGCCCGTGGAGCTTTCACTGGACTGACTGAGCCACCGTCTTTGAACGCTGCATCCACTTCCTTTAACATTTGCTCCCATTGGAACATCACACGCCTGGAACTGGAAAACAACACTAAGCATAACCAGGAATACATGTGACACATTAGCAGAATAAAAACATGTTTGCTTATGGACACATGATGGCTGCTTCGTTAGCTCTGTGAACTTTTACCAAACTTCAAAACACATGAAACCGATGAAGACCATGTGATGTGACGGAAAGCTCTGGAACAGCGAGAAAATTGATTGTTTTGATTTAAACTGACTTGCTGATTGTTTCCAAGGTCAACAGGGACATCAACAGATCTGTCAGAGTTTCTGTGTGCATTCAAAAAGAAGACCTGTGACGGTCACGCTGCTGACGCCCTGTTCGTCTGTAAATCACTACGCTGTGGCAGAGCGCCGACTTTCACAGGCAGTGAGGTCTGAGAGAGTCTGGATCCCAGCGTTGTGCTCTCAGCAGCACAGTCTGACCCTGACATGTTTCCTGTTCAGTGGACGCTGCCAAAAACACAGGAGACCTTCCCATCATGCATTTCAGCAGGCAGAGAGAGAAAAGAGAGCCTCTGTAATATCTTTTCGAAGGGCTGCTGCAGTCACATCCATCCATTTATACCTCCACACCTCCATATCCCCCCTTTTACTCCCCCCTCCTCCCTCCACAGCCTCAGAGAAGGGGGGATGAGATTAATACTCGAGGGGAGGATGAGAGGAGAGGAGGCGGAGGGGGAGGTGAAAAGAGGAGAGGAAAGCGTCTGTTTCCTGCTGGGACAGAAGAGGGGTGGGGTGGGGGTGGAGGGGGGTGAAGTAAAATAAGAGAGCGGGGGTGGGGCCCGATCAGCCCAGTATCTCCAGCATGATGTTTTTACTGGACACCAGGATGCAGGTGCCACAGCCACAAAGCAAACCACTGTCAGTGGGTCCGTTTCTATCCAGGAGCTTTTATACTTGTGCATAAAGAATCCAGTGTGAAATCACATCTTAATGTGATTATTCTGGACACAGCAGTTGTTTTTCACACGTCACAATGTCATGTGACCCACTTCATGTGCTTCAATAATGACGTTATCTCCCACCATTATACACACTGGACCTATAAACACCAGTAGAGTTACCTCATGACCACCACGTCTTTAAAATTCATTCTCTTCTACCACCACAGTACCTGTGAGAGAGCAGCCTGTTTGGTGCACACTCGTGACACCAAAGCACAACAGCCTGTTGTCACGGAGCAACTCTACGTGAACAGGCCTGTATCAGCTGCAACACACAGTCGACGCTGACCACAGAAACACTCTGACATGTTGAATACAAACACACAGATTCACACATCAGGTCTGAGAGATAACAACACACTGACCGCAGGTCCGTCACACACACACCCAGGCCGGGCTGGAGAAATACATTAAAATAATGTGAAAGAGAGCGTGAAACAAATTCAGCAGAGATCAACACACACTGCATACAGAGACACTGTAACACAGAGAGCGCGTCAGTATCTTACCTGTCAATGATGACGGGGTCTGACGGCGTCTCGTTTCTGTTTCCACAGCTCTTCTTATCACAGCAGCGACTGGCGCACAAAGACAGAATAACAACAGCACAACCTTTTTATTTCTCTGCAGCCAGAAAAAAAAACACATTTCAGCACTTACTTTTTTGCGGTACATAGTACAAGCACTGCAGTACAAGCAGTAGTACACAGTAAGTAGTAATCAAGCACAGAGATGTTCACAGGCCTCACTCAGCTCCTGGTGTTTAGGAAATTATCTTTGTACTGCTGCAGGTCCCAGGTCAGTGTCAGTACCCGTCTCATACCTGAGTGAAGCCCAGGTACTCAGCATCACCACAAAAAGGACCAGGCACGGCCGTCGTCGGGTCTGCGCAGGCGGCCGTCCTCAGGCCTGCGCAGGCCAGGCGCGGCCGTCCTTGGATCTGAGCAGGTCAGGGACAGCCAGGTGTCCTGGAAAGACCTTGTTGTCCAGGCAGAGCATGTGCAGTAGTAGAGGTGGATGGTTTTACCTGCACATGATCTCATGTGTCAGCAGAACTCGGCACATCTCTGGATTCTTGTCCTGACCTTCATAGATGATCGCCTGAAACACACACGAGGGTGTAAAGAGCTGCGTTCAGGTGTTTGACCACACCTGATCAACGCGTGGAGATCTGCTCTGTGTCCTCAGCCAGCTGTAAAGTCGAGATCTGCTGTGTAAGTAAACTCTCCACCCTCCTTCTCGTCTGCCGCTAGCAGAAACAACTCAATTAAAGCCTCATTTCATTTGTCTCAATTATGAGTGATTATTAGCCATTAGCCAGAGCAGATGAGTGTGTGCAAACTGAGGGCAAACATTTGATCCTCTGAATGTACCATTACAGCTGCTGCCGGCAGATATTCACATGAAACAGCTGGAACCAAAAGCATGAAAAGCCTTTTTCACAAAGACCAGATCACACGATGCAAACGACGCCTGACGGGCATGCTCGTTAAAACCTCACTAATTGAATGACTTGTTAGATTTAAATGCTATGACTGCTGCTGGCTTCCATTAGCGTCACTGTGGACAACAGAGAATAGACTGGGACAGAGACTGCTGACTGGACTGTTTTTACCTGGCTAGAAATGTACAATGATACCAGCCTGCAGTGCTGTCAGCGCCCCCTACAGGCTGCTGGCTTCACAACAAACAACAAGTCTGAACAGTTGGTTCTGATGGTGTCGCTAGAAGAAATAAATTAAAATGTGGAGTTCATGGTCTGGGGGGCCAAATGGAGATCAGGCCACGTGCTGCTTCGGTGCGCCATCATAAATACCAAGCTGTGCTTGAGACTGTGTTAAAACGATGTCTCGCTCTCCTCCTGAAGCTTCGTCAGTAAACAAAAGGCCAGCACCTTTTATAGTACAATTCTGCAGTGGGCATTGTGACAAACTCTGAACAGTCAAACGTCTGGTGATCCCGCACTGATACAAGAACACAATCTTAAAACAACGGAGGAAATGAGTTTCAGTGGCACATCCAAAGGTTTGACGGTATATCAGACACTGCAGCACTGACTGTGTTTGATACTGGTCCGACTCTGACTTTGCAAACAGCCATGTTTAACTGATAACACATCTGTCCTGCGGAGAGGGGCACGAGTCCTAGTTTGACTTTACATACCATTAAACAGAAACTCCCTGACTGAGTGTGAACCTGCGTGCAAATGGTTAACATGTTTATGAAGTTGGCACCACAGCTGAGAGTCGACATCTGTTTGTCTTTTTCATGGTCTCACACAACAGACACAAGTTGAACAGATGGTTTGACCTTCACTCTGTCTGTGATCAGAGACACTCAGCAGCATCTGATCTAAGGTGCTG